TGATATAGTATTAATGGCTGGTGACTTTAATGCTGAAGTAGGTAGACTAAGTGAAAATGAAAGACAACTAGGTGGATGTTATGTTGTTGCGGCTCAGAGAACAGACAATGGTGACCGTCTGTTGCAAGTATGCTCTGACAACCACCTGTTCTTAGCAAACACTAACTTTAGGCATAAGTAAGAGAATCTGTTTACCTGGCGACCTCCAAAGTCGTCTCAACGTTGGACGCAACTAGATCACATCGCCATCAGCCACCGATGGAGGGGTCCGATAGAAGACTGTCGCTCGTTGTGGGGCACATGTTTAGATTCAGATCATGCCCTAGTGCGAGCGCGTATTTGTTTGAAGCTTACTGGGCGTAGGAAAGACACCGTAAGAAAGCCTCTTAGGGTTTTACTGAATGATAATAGGGTGAAAAATATATTTCAGGAACAACTAGAAAGACAGTTAGGCGACCATCTAAGCGATTCCCATCCGGAGGCAGGTTGGAATGATATCAAAAAGGCTGTGGAAACAGCAGTGATATCTGCTAGTAAGGTTGACCATAAGTCTAGAATGAAGCCGTGGATCTCTGTAGCATCCACCGATCTGATGGATGCCGGAAAACCTAACCCACCTAGCTCTGAACATGATAAAGAACGAAGTCAACTTAGGCGCAGGCTGATAAAAAGCCTGCGCAACGACCGTGAACAGTGGTGGGTGGAGAAAGCGAGAGAGATGGAAAAGGCAGCGGCAATAGGCAACAGTAGGCAACTATTCATACTCATCAAGGAAACTGGTATTAGGAACCCAAGTGTGAGTGAGACTATTTCAGAAAAGGATGGTCTTATTATCCATTCTCAATGTAGGAGACTGGACCGATGGGCAGAACACTTTAGAGATCAGTTCAACTGGCCTCGAGCCACTCTTCGGTTACCCACGATCTCCAGTCAACCTGAATGGCAAATCGACGTAAGTCCCCCTACTCTTTATGAAGTTGAGAAGGCGTTAGGAAATCTGAAGCGAGGACGAGCTGCAGGTCCTGATTGACTGACCCCTGAGATATTTAAGGATGGTGGTCCAGTTATAGCAGCTAGGTTGACCGAGATCTTAGATAGAATCCGGGAACTGGACGTAACCCCATCCGACTGGTCTCAATCACTGATTGTCCCAATTTATCAGAAAGGACAAAAGTTTTGTTGTGACAATCACAGAGGAATAAGTCTAACTAATATAGTATCTAAAATTTTGGCATCAATAATACTTCGACGCTTAACGAAAGCTCGTGAAGAGCAGACTAGAGAAAACCAGGCTGGTTTCAGACCTGGACGTGGTTGTATAGAACACATCTTCACAATACGACAGGTCTTGGAGCACAGACACACATTTAGGCGTCCAGGCGTTTTCCTGTTCCTAAAAGCGGCATTTGACTCTGTAGATCGTGAGGTTCTGTGGCAGTGTCTGTCATTGAAAGGTGTACCAGAGAAGTACATTAACATTATACAAGCTCTCTACTCGAACACCACTGGTCGAGTGAGAGCTTATGGCGAACTGTCACTGGGATTCTTCACTTCAAGTGGTGTCCGTCAGGGATGTCCACTTTCTCCATTCTTGTTTAATTTTATCATAGACATGCTCCTAGAAACAACCTTATCCTCGTCTGAATTTTCAGGAGTAGACCTTTCACCAGGAGGCTCGCTTATTGACTTCGAATATGCCGATGACATAGTCCTACTTGGTGAAGGTGCTGACAAGATGCAGAGTCTTATGACTACCCTAAGCAACAATGCAAGCATATTCGGGATGCGGTTTTCCCCCCTCGAAATGCAAAATGTTGCTTCAAGACTGGGTTGCATCGGCACCTGAACTAGTGATAGGGAGTGAAGTAGTCGAACGTGTAGACCGCTTCACTTATCTGGGGAGTCTCATCAGTGCTGATGGCCTGGTGACTGACGAAATCTCAGCTCGGATAAAGAAGGCTCGATTGGCTTTTGCCAACCTGCGTCACTTATGGCGTAGGCGAGATATCCGTTTGCTGACTAAAGGAAGAGTGTACTGCGCAGTGGTTCGCTCTGTCTTACTTTATGGCTGTGAACCATGGCCAATGAGAGTAGAAGATATTCGTAGGTTACTGGTTTTCGATCATAGTTTTCTTCGAAGCATTCCTCGTATATCGTGGGACGCCCGAGTGAGCAACGCTGTTATAAGGAAACGGGTGATAGGTAAGAATGGAAGATCAATAGATGAAGTAATGAAACTTTATCAATTGAGGTGGTTGGGACATGTGTTGCGTATGCCTAACGACCGACTGCCTCGAAGAGCTTTGTTTTGTAGTGTAGGAGTAGGTTGGAAGAAAGCTGGTGGCGGCCAGACCAAAACATGGCACAAATCCATGAAGTCATTGACGAATGGACGTAGCCATGTCGGTAATTGTCGACTACGTGGTTGGGGTCCGCGAGATGATAATAATCGATGGTTAGAGACCTTGAATGACAAGGCTTAAAAACGTTCTGAATGGCGCCGGTGCATTTATTCTCTGTGTTCTACTGTATTCTTCAACTTTGTAAACTTTTCTCACTTAATCATACTCCTTCAAAAATATCTTCTAATCCTAATCTCTCTGATTACTTCTAATACCTTTACTACCTATTGGATTTGAATCGACAATTGCATCTCTGTGCTGATGTCGTATGGCGACATGAATTGATGTACTTACGTACAAAGTTCTACGTCGCATCTGACTGACTGACTGACTGACTATTTTGTAAGCCACTAACTAAAGTCAGTAGATGTTGTAGTTGAAATAAAGAAATTTAATTCAGTGAAACATCCTTTGTAGGAGGTTCTCAATATGATTGTTATTTCTTCACTGTGATGTTGTTTTTATTTCAACAAACTCTTTACCTTTTACTGTTCTTACAGTTCATCAAGTAATGAAATGTAGGAGAAAAACACCTAAGCAAATAAAAAGATGTGAATGGTTAGAGAAACTTCTAAAATTGGAATCCTACCGGTAAGATTTTGTGTTGTTATATATATATATATATTCGTTATTTATTTTGTATTTCTGATTTAGGAGTCTATGATTTTTTCAGTTAATCTTTCAATAAAAAGTATTGTATAAATTTCGTATTTATCAATTTTTCAATGCAATACATATCTTCTGATATTCATCATATAAAAAAAATTGTGAAAAAGACTGTTTTGTTTTTTTTTAGTTCAGTTTTTCTTCCTCCAAAGAAAAATCATTTATTTTTGGATTTTGAATTATTGAACCGTTATCAAGATGCATTAAGTAAAGCTTTAGAATTATCAATGAAGCATAATTTACCACCAATTAATGGTTCAACATTAATTATATGTTCTACTAGTAAATATGTCAATCAATCTAAGCGTAAATCATCGAAATCTTATGTAAGTCAATTAATTAATTTATTTATTCACATTGTGTTGGGGATGTTAGATCCCCAAAATTCGCTTGATAATGCCGTATTTTGGTTTTCACGTTTCGCCAGCATGAGCTGATCAGCTGACCTTGAGATTTCAATTCTCACCAGCAAAATCAATGGCTGTGATTGGCTGCAGTGTATTTTAGTATGCTATTTTCTTAACTGTCTCAAGGACGTTGTTATGTTGTATAAATAAACGAGAGTTGTATGCTTGATTGTACTGTGATTGCTGGGTGTTTGTAGAATATACTTTCTACGCTTACAAAGCCTTCTATTCGATTTTGGGTATTCAAGGTAGCCTCCCTGGAAGCTGGTAAAAGTCTCGTTCGCGTTTATCGACTAAGGTAAACTCGTAATAGCCTCAAGCATACTAAGTGACGAACTTATCACATTGATTGAATTTAATGTTTTGTATTCTTTATCAGTTTTCATTGATACACAGAAACTCTCAATGGATGCTTCAATCAGTCCTTGTAGTTAGAATCTGTAGTCTACATTTGTATTGTTGAATAAAGGTGCACTCAGCTGCCAAGTCTTAAATAGGTCACACAATATATTTCTTCGGTTAAATTGTTAGACATAATCAAAAAAATGTTCGATAATTTCGGACAACGTTGAGGTATCTGTTGTGGGGGCGGACTTGTATTGATAGAAACTATTCATTCTTTAATATTTAACATTGTGATGGTACAGTCACTTACAAGTAGTCGGTATCACACACGTTCAACAATGGAGTAGTTATTTAGGCTCAGTAGCTTTGTAGTATGTCGAATTAATGCGTGTTCTTAATGGTCGTTTTATAAATCAGAAGATGAACTCGTATTGATGAATACGTTTATTCGGAACACACCACAAAGCGAAGCGGAGAAGCGAATTGGAGAAGGCTAATAGCCGATTCCAAAAGATAGAGTATGACTAAGAATATATAGTCAGGCATAAATAAGACAGACATATGACAAGCGAAATAGGTGTGTACACACATAAATAAAAGCAAAGAATGATTGACAAGGTCAAAAGCAAGCGATACAAATCATGTAAGTTCATGGGAATATTACGAGATTAACATTAAAGCGAAAAGGATGAGTAAGCGCGTAGGCGTAAGCAATGCTCAGTCGTACAAGCTCATACAAACCAGATAATAAAAAATACCAATGGTACATATGAGTTGTTACTATACAAATGGCTTGGTTAAATAAATTAATCGAAAGAGCTTAACCAAGATAAATGTGAGCGAACTGGAATACAATATGTGGAGGCACTACAGCTTAATGGGTTACACGTTATGAATGCAAGGCTCTACAGTTAGCCACAGTCCTAAAATCCATTAGTGTGTGCTTTGTAATACACAAAAGACAAGTGTGCAGAATTTTGTCAGTTCAATTCAGTGACTTATACTCGCTTCTTAATGTTTACTGAACCAACTATAAAGAGTAAACGGCCGAAAAAAGCTTAGAGAGTTTTTTTACGTTGAGCTGGATGGTCGTGTACATAACTGGAATACTTATGTTACATTGAACTGGCCCATGAGGGTATATGCGTGTAGTAGTGACCTTGGTTAGAAGAATTATTCACTCACTAATTCATTTACACTAGCTCCTTCACTTTAGGATTTCTCACGACGTGATCGCAAATATGGAGCTGTGCATTCACTAGTGAATATGGTGTTAGCTAGCAGCTTTCTTTATGTTGTTATTGAAAAGAAGCCAAGATTATCTACTTTGAGTTTGTCAATTTACACCCTATTTATAGATGATAGTCAGTATTACTATGCGATAGCATGGTTAAATGCTAAGCTACAAACCATCAAATCTCAAACTTGAACTACATCTGATTTACTTCGGTTTGAGGTCAAACTTCTGACTCAACACTTACCGTATAAACTTTTATCCGGTAAAGCTTGAAAAATGTGTCAGTACAAGGCTTTAGACAGTGCCGAGTTTCATTAAATCCATAAGTCGATCAATTTCAGACCACCATTGAAAGCACTGGAATGGCCGTTTCGTCCTAGCGTATGAGCCACGAGCAGTGCGCATCTAAGACTCTGTCAACAGGACCCGAACTTGGAATCTTAAGCATTTTAACTTGAAACCGAAGATTGTGAATTCGATTCCTACTGACGAGGTAGTGGATGAAGAATTTTTGATAAGTTCCATGGCAGGACGAAACAGTGCTTGTGTACTTTCAGTGGTGGTGGACTGACAGTCGATTGATTGATTGATTCATCTATTCAACTACAAATATGTTTTTACTTATAAAATTATTGCTTATGTTTCTTAAACAGATAAAAATCATGGGTTTTCTTCTTGGTTCAATGTGTACATGGATTTGTGAAACACCTACAACTTATGTCACAGTTAATAATGAATACAATCTAACCCCAATTGAAGTTCTATTCAAAGCGAAACATACTACAGACAATAATAATGATATAGTTTCGCATGTACACGATTCAAAATCTAATAAATATCGATGTCAATATAAAAAAATTGGAATTTTAGAAAAAACAAAACAAATCTATGGAAGACGTAAAGTAAGTTTTCAATTTGTATATGACTTTGATGTTATGATTTGTCATTTGTCTGTGTGCATGTGTGTGTGTGTTTG